GAAAAAACGATCGGTCGTACCCGATAATGTTGGTCAGCAAAAATTGTTGAAAATCTGCACAATTCGACGAGAACTTTAGCAAAAATACTAACGTAAATTAGAAACGAAAGCAGATTCAACGATAAAAACTTAGCTGATGAAAAAAAAACAGTTTCAAACTGTCTATTTTCCATGATTTTCTTCTCTTTATCTGCAGCCACTCGAGTGCGTCCCCATCGGCAATATGGCACCGATTTTCTGCTACCTTTTAATAGCTTAACAATTGAGTTGCCTAAATAAAAAAGCCACTGATGCATACTGCACATGAGTAAAACCTATCTGGAATATGCACATCTGCCGCCCTTAGATGCGCCCTTATTTATATTGGATTTTTCGCCGTATAATGGCTATATGAAGTGTTACCCTTGTAACCGATCCCCGATTTGATTCATTCAATTATCTTTAGCCCTTTTTGGAAATGTTCAACGCAATGAAAACTTTTTTTGAGTATGAAAAGAAACCGGTCAAGTTTTGGGCCAGTTTTTCGTTGATAACTTTGAAAATAATTCCCATACAAACTTAAAAATTTGAAGTGTTATAGAAAAAACCTTAGTGGACATGTCTGAAAAAACTCAGCTAGTCTAGAGATTGCAATGATTTTATATGATTTTTCAAAATTCCCTTTGTACCTAGAAATAAGTTCATATTTATCGTTTGCGCACACTTGGGTTTAAAAATTTGCAACTTCCGAACTCACGCCGATGTAAAGTTCAAATTTAGCACTGCTGTATAAAAAGCCTTAGTTAGCCGGTAGACAAAAAGTCAATCAATGCAGAGCAGCGGTTGATTTTTGATGAGTTTTCAAACTTTCACTTCTGCCCATCAACGCGTCTCAATCTGGCAGACCTTTCGAAAAAAATCGACATTTTGAAACACTTGCAGATGACACCAAATTTTTATTTTGGGAGACTAAAGATGAAGTCTTACTATGTACAAAAATTCAATAAACTCCGAGTTGCAGTTGATTTCCTGGGATTTTCCAAATTTAAAGCGTATTAAGATTGGGGTCTCGATTGAGCACAGTTGACTTTAAAAAATCGTAACTTGCAAACTCACAAGGATGTAAAATTGAAATTTGAGGCAACCATTGAGGAAACATCATTTAGAATGTGTACGAAAATTCAATCCATTCAAAGCACCTGTTGATTTTTTACCAGCTTTCGAGTTTCCGATTATGCGCATCAAGCTGCCCCCAATCCAGCAGGCCTTCCTAGGAATGTACAGAACTACCAAACTGTTGCAGATATAAAACTGAAATTTTGCACAATTACAGAAGAAGCATCGGTTGGTGCTGACGCCAAAAATCCATCAAATCAGAGCCCTGGTTGATTGTATGCCATTTTTCAAGCGCTATTTAATAAAACTAATAGAAACCATATTTGCTAATAAGTACCTATCAACTTTTACGCCAGTAGAACGACCGTTTCTTTCGTAATGGCAACAAGTAGAAGTAGGCAAGTACCCGAGAACCATAGTCCCTATTTGGACACGACCAGATACGAAAATTACTCTTGTTAAGACCATATGTTTGAGGAATGCACATGCAGCTTTCAACCGACTTGTGTCCAGTTTCGTAACGGTTTGGGTTCCTCCCCCCATTCGGTAGAAGGTTTATTGAAGAAAAACCGTCCGGGAAAGTTGGGATTCATTTTCAATCACGAAGAGTGCAGGATGACCACAAACCGATGGTTTTATGAACCCAATATCGGTTCAATTCGATTCGATTTCTCTTCGACGGCCTTGGGTCGGAACCACAAGAATGGCTGCAAAAACACTATTAGGTTCGGTTCTGTTTGCAAGGCTTTAGATAATTTTTTAAAATGCTTATTGTCAATTTACAACCTGCCATTTTCGCGTCTGAGTTTCATATCTTATCAGCATTTGGCGACTTGTTCTTGAAAGATTAATCGCGGCGATAAGCATGTTGAAGGCTGTTTGGAGGAATAAATTCAAGTGTATTTTTAGCCCTCACGTTCCTTTTTCTTTAGGTATTAATTGCGGCTTTTTACCAGAATTATTAGAGCAGTTTGCCCAGTTCAACCGTCATTGCATGCCAAATGCGATGAATAACCACCCATTAAAGAACAGCTGATAGGAAGTGAACAGGGCGATTCGAAAAGCGGATATAAACGGCTGTTGAAGGTACAAAGCCGCCAATTTATAACAGTTCCGTCTACCAGTTGGAAAGGCTTAATTTCGGTTTCAAGCAAGGGTTTTGGTGTTGGAAAAACTGCGACTTTCACCTTACGGCCACTCTCGACTCAAGTGGACCAGAGCAGGCCACAAAAACGTTAATTAAATGCCTTGAATGGAATCCTTGTGGTTTTAAAGTCTCGCTTTCATTCATTCATGGAAAGATGTTTCTAGCTCTAGCGAAAGTTTGGGTTAAAGTGGAAACCATGAAGATTATCTAAGTGACAAACTCCCTTGATAAATCTCATATTGTGTCTAGGTGGCTTGATCTTCCGGTGCTTTTATTAGATTGGAAAAAATTGAATCCCATAGGGAGCAGTTAATTGAATAGAGCTGCCTGACGAAGAGATCCGGAGGCAGTTAGTTTAGGATATGGAGGCTTTGTGGGTTTACAGGCAATATGTTGCTTTACCAGCAAATTTGCTTAATTCAATGCCAAGTTGTTTTTGAATTTGACTCTGAAACATTAGTTTTGACGGACGGTTTGCTGAAAAACCGGCAATAAGAGGAAATTATAAATAGTTATTTATAATTTGTAATTATGCTATTTTTTGTAAATTTTCAGATTTGGAAAAAATTTAAAAAGAATACCTCGAATTAGAGAATTTAATATCTACAAAATGTTTTTTGAGTTTTCAAAATTGTAACCAAATTCAGCGTTATATGTCAGAGTTATGAAGAAAAGAGTGAGCCAAAGTATGGTTCGGCGCTTTTGAAACTTTAGACAGTGGATTTTCTCGAGTACTTTACGCAGATGTAAAATGGGGAGTGTCCTTTTCAGACCAAACCCAGCTGATGAGAGCCAATAGGCTCGAAACTAGCCCTGAAGGTGCCTGAGATGAACACACCTGAAAATCTGTACCTACTTGCATGATAACACCGAAAGCTTCATTCTTAATCGGTTGAATTGTTTCTAATGAAACTGGGCCTCTCCTATCAATTACACTGGAACGTTCTGAGTTTAATTAATGAAATTTAATTAAGAAACTAGTATTTTTCAAGCAAACATCGTACGCCTTTCAAGTTAATTACATGCCGGAAAACATGGCCATTAGCATACAAATTAAAGGCAAGCCGTTTACTCATTCATAAGTTCTCGTTAACCCCGTTTTACATTTTTTTACTGACATTTTACTAATGCAGTGCTTGATGAACCGCACTCTTAAAATTGCCATCAATGCCAAAATGTATGTAATTCAGATACAATCATGTATTAACACTTTTGTACTGATAACACATTTTAATAACAAATGTGGATTTGAGTACGTAAATGATTATCAAATAGAGATTTCGACATTTCCAGTTATCTATTTTATCAAGAAAATTGGATTTTGAAATGTTTTTTCCTGGAAATCCTGCATTCAGTTGATTCGATTTAAAACAGGTGGCATTTTCAACATAAACTAATCATAGAATTGCTTCATGCATTGAATTTCCTGTCGCACACCGTTGACCGAAATACCGTCATTTTCGAAACGCCTTAAATTTGTTGCCATCAGGAATTTCCAAGAATAAAGCCCAAAAAAGTGTATTTTTTTCGTAAACCATCCATACTGAATAAATATTGAGCAAATATGGATTTATCGGAGTTTGTTTTGCGAAAAATCGTCTCTTAAACAAACGATGCCCGACTTGCATTCCTTGGAATCGTTGCGAATGCAACGAGCAATCAATGAGCTGATTGCGGGAAAAAATAACGAAATACGCAAATAATACCAGGAAGTCAATATTTAAACTGCTCATGACGATAATTATCTTTTCCCCAGTTTTTTTTTGTTTTTTTCATAAATTTTTCGTGTTCATTACGGTCTTGGTGCATGCACGTCTTCAGAAATGAACAACCTCGAAGGCAGTTTTTCGCGATTTATCAACAGATTAGAAAGGACGCATAAAGCGTACCGGTAATTGGTAATCTCGTTCAATCTGCCATTTAAAACGATGTAATTTAATAATTTGTAGAAGATCCATTATGTGGTTTTGCAAGCCGTAATGGGCAGGAATATAAGACAAAGAACCAGTTAATAACCTATCTGATGCATTATTTAAAATGTGTAGGTAGAACCTCGTGTGTGCCAATTAATCGGCACTTGAAAAGTGCCGACTTTCGGGCTGAAATTATATTGAAGATCGAAAAATTGACCGACCATCTGGAGTCGAAAATTCGGTGATTATTAACAACAAATATGCAAAATAAGTTCGACCTTAATGAGTAGAAATCGCCCGCTCAAAGTCATAAAACTGGGTTTAAAGTCGAGTTTTTTGCGTCAGTTTGCAGAGTTGGAATTGAAGACTAAAAAGCTTCATTTTCGGGAAAGACAGTCGAGAATGTGCCGACTTTCGAACTGAAATTATATGTATTGAAGATGGAAAAACGGACAAAGATTGACCGAACATCTGAACCCGAAAATAYCGCGACTCTTGAAAATTAATGACTAGAAAGCGCCTGCTGAAAGTCATAAACTGGGTTTAAAGTCGACTTTTTTGCGTCAGTTTGYAGAATTGAAATTGAAGATTTTCAAGGAAGAAATGTGTGAAAGMSGAGTGTTYCACATCACAATCACTCTTTTTATTTGGTGGAAAACTCGAGTTGAAACCCCAATTGTTCATTTTTACATTTTATAGCCGAAAATTTGGACTTTAGATTCAAATTTTAGCCGTATTTTGCCCGGAATAAATGCGCCCCAAGCACCATATTCGCGGAATTTTACTTTACCATTAAAGGAATGAATAGCTGAATAAATGATGTAGTGTTGAAAACTAGTACTTACGCACAGGAACCTTTTTGGGATCGAACTGGGCCAGCTTCTCATCCACGAGACTAATTCGGGTTCTCACCACCTCACATCGCTTATAGACGGTTCGCAGCTGAGAACCCAATTCCTTGAAAATGTCGTCAGCAATCAGCGACAGCGACGCAAGTTGCCTGAGCGCATTGCAAAGCGTAAAATTTGTGACAGCTTCCAACTCCCCATCTGAGACTTTGGGGGTACCATTTTCGTTGAACAGAGTCACTCTCGACAGGTACTTGGGTTCCACAACCCTTTGCACGAACGGCATTTTTATTCGAGCGCACTGAACCGCAAGCCAATACTGCAAGCATATCACTTTTGGGGCCTTAAATTACCGAAACAAACATTGTGGATTCAAGCGCAAAGTCATCCAAAACTCCGGCACGCAGTTGCTGCGAAAAACCGAACAAAACGGGCACAGTTTTCACAAAACAGCCGGTTTGTCGTTCACATTTTCCGGAAAAGTCGCAACTTGGACGCGCGAGACGAACGAAACACGCTCACAAGTACGCGGCACAAACGCCGGTAAGCAAGTGGAAAACACCGAGAACGCAGTCAGTGGCAGCGAAGGCGCGCACTTTTGCCGGCTTTGAATTTGAATTTCACCAGACAATGTTGCCGAGTTTTTAACCCAAATGGGTCCATCTGTGGGCTAGGCCTGGGTAATACTGTGTCTTAAGAGACTTGTGTGTTGATGCCCCGACACCGGGCCTCTTATGGCGCGGCACTTTGGACAACCCTTTACATTACACTCACCATAAAATCATCTTTTTCACTCTCGAATCAGGGGGGGATCAAGTAGTAGGAATTCAGTCTTTTGTTGTCTATGAAAATAGAGAAATTAACGTTAGTCGTTATAAACCCAGCACAAGGGGGATTCGCCCTTGTCTCGAATTCCATCCATTTCCGCTTTCCAAGAAATCAACAACCTTCGTTGCCTAGGAACGGTCCCTGGTGACGTCTATTTCCGGAAGCGCATAAACCTGATTGACCAATCGCTTGTCGACTCTTTGAATACAAGACATGTACCATGGCAACGAGTGAATACAAACACATCAACAAAGTTGTAAATGAGCCGGTTTTTACACGTTCGTTTTGGAAAAAGTGTCTTATTTGTTGGAATTGGTTCTCGAAGGATTGAAGGCCCGAAAATGTGACTTTAAATTAGAAAATTAGCGATTGTAAAGGAAATGTGGACGATTTTTTCGACTTAAATCGTTGGTGCGATATTAAGGGTGGCAAGTTTTCAAATTGAGACCCGGTATATTGGAAAACAAGAGCATTCTACAGGGTGACCAAGGTAAGAGTGCATTACATCTGAACCTTCTAGAATGTTTTTTAATCAGTTCGATGCATTCCATGAGATGGAAATATCGTAAAATTTAAGACATTTTGAGAAAATTTTTATTTTTTCAAAAAATCCACCCTAGGAAAATTTCGACCAAAAATCAAAATTTCACATGCGTGTTTTTTGAGCTCAATCGATTCCTTTCGACGTAAGAAGGTCACCATTGCGCATTTATACAGTGTTTGGGTCAATAATAAGGAAGAAATCCTCGGCTAAAGATCGTGAACGTTCAAAAAAGGCTTAAAATGTGTCTAAAATTAAATTTTTTTCAAATGTTTTAAATTTTACATCATTTTCGGCTCACGGCCGACAGGAATGCATCGAACTCATTAAAAAACATGCTAAAAGTTTCAGATTCGAAATAATAGACATTTTCGGCACATTTGAAGCGCTTTTTGAGCGTTCACGATCTTTATCCGACGATTTCTTCCTTATTATCAACTCAAACACTTTATAAATGCATATTTGTGACCTTCTTACGTCGAAAGGAATCGATTGAGCTCAAAAAACACGCATGTAAAATTTTTATTTTTAATCGAAATTTTTCCAAGGGTGGGGGTCGATGTCTTAAATTTTACATCATTTTCGGCTCACGGACGCTAGGAATGCATGGAAGTCACTGAAAAACATAGTTAAAGTTTCAGATCCGAAATAATAGAATGTCTATTATACCTACTCAAAAAAAAACCACGCAAATCTAAAACTTCTTGAATTCAAGCATTTTTTGAGAAAACTGCCAACATTTCCCCATCCATGGTTCACTTTCTAA